GCCCGGCCTAGTCCTACTCTTTAATCAAGCCTATATACTGCTACCAGACAAATATCCCTACAATGTATTTTATATAATATCCTCTAATTCAAAGCCTGAGATGACATCTTACTGCTTCAGAATAGTTTAAAACTACTCCACCTGATATTTCTTATCCCTCTACATCAATGGTTCTCAAAACATGGTCCCTAGACCAGCAGCATCAGCAATGAATAAATACCAAATGCTCAGTTAAGTACTGGATTTTGAAATAATGCATTATTCATTTTTCTGAAGTGGCTACAAACTTAATTTTTAAAAAACAATTTATCAGCTGGGTGCAGTGGCTCACGCCTGTAATCCTAGTACTTTGGGAGGCTGAGGCAGGAAGATCGTTTGAGCTCAGGAGTTTGAGACCAGCTCTGAGCAAGAGCAAGACCCTGTCTCTACCAAAAATACAAAGAAATTAGCTAGACAACTAAAAATATATAGAGAAAAAATTAGCTGGGCATGGTGGTGCATGCCTGTAGTCCCAGCTACTCGGGAGGCTGAGGCAGAAGGATCGCTTGAGCCCAGGAGTTTCAGGGTGCTATGAGATAGGCTGACGCCACGGCACTCTAGCCCGGGCAACAGACTGAGACTCTGTCTCAAAAAAAAATAAAATAAAATAATAATTTATTGCTTAATAATATATGACATGAACTTTCTAAAAAGAAAACCAATATCTATGTTGAAAAGGATTTATTGTTTAATAAAAAGCAAAATGGCCAGTCGCAGTGGCTCACTCCTGTGAAGTCCCAGCACTTTGGGAGGCTGACGTGAGAGGACTATTTGAGGCCAGGAGTTTGAGACCAGCCTGGGCAACAGAGCAAGACCTTGTCTTTACTAAAAATAAAGAAAAATTAGCCAGGCATAGTGGTGTGCATCTGTAGTCCTAGTTATTCAGGAGGCTGAGGCAAGAGGATCACTTCAGCCCAGGAGTTCGAGGTCACAGTGAGCTGTGATCATGCCACTGTACTCCAGCCTGGGTGACAGAGTGAAACCCTGTCTCTTAAAAAAAAACAAGGTATATTTCATCATCTTGATACATAATTTAAACAAATGTAAGTTTATTTCAATCAAAATTCCAGTCTCCAAAAAAAAAAAAGTTTCTCTATGGTTATTAATAAAATAAAAAATAAAATCTGTACACCTATTATTTGTAGCGATCCATTTAATAATAAATGCCAACCACAAAATCCAGTTTGTTTTCCTTTGGACGCTTAGCCAGCACACAGCTATAGCTATCACATACACAGAAAGACAGTACACAAAATATACTGCTAGTTTCGAGCCATGTCACCTGAACATAAATGATAGTTACAATGCTAAGTTTCACTAAAATGTCTAAGTATGACATATTAACAGGCTGAAAGATTAGTTAGCTATTAAAAATGACAAATACAATTTTATCAATATGAGAAAATTTCTATAAAATGGGCAAAAGAAAAAAGATACAGAAAATAATATAGTAACAAGAAGAAGAATGAGAAGAGATGAGAAGAGAAAGAGAACAGAGTGATATTAAGTAGTTTAGAGTTTCATGTTCCTTGGGTTATTTCTTCTAGAGAGTTTCTTAACAAATACAAAACATTTTCTTCAAAAAGTTGAGAAAATTCATATATTTTGAGTTTTTGAAGACCCTTTACTAAATTCCCGAGGAGGATATGGTGAAGTAAACTACCTTAACAAATCATATCTTAAAGGAATGAGTTCTGTGGTTTGAAGAACAGTTAAAATGTTGGC